TTTAACCAACATACTAAAAAGTGTGCTCAACCACCAACACATTGGAAAGTTATCAAAGTAGATTTTTTCTTTGCTTGTTTTAGCATATTAAAGGAGGTTGCACTTATTTAAAATACAGATCATCCAATATATTATAGGGTTAAAAATCAGCCACTCTAGGAAGGTGTTCACAGACAAACCTACTTAAAAAGAGTGGCAATACATAACTTCCATCAGTGGCAATATGTAGCTTCCAAGCAAGGAGATGTTGACATTGTGGCTTAGCTGGTCAAAGAGTACCCCACTGCAATCCTTTAAAACATGGCAGAAGCTGCAAATCCTGCCTGGCAATGACTTTTGACACTGGTAAAAGTGGCATAAAAGGTCTAGAACACATGTCATATGAGGAAGGGCTGAGGGAATTGGGTTTGGTTAGCCTTGAGAAGAGGCAGCTCAGGGGTGACCACATCACTCTCTACAACTACCTGAAAGGGTAGCTGAGAAAGGAGTTGTAGGGAGGTGGGGGATTGTCTCTTCTGCCATGCTTGCAGTGAGAGGACTAGAGGGAATGGTCATAAGCTGAGCCAGGGGAGATTCAGATTAGATATTCAGGAAAATTTCTTCACTGTTAGGGTGGTCAGGCACTGGAATAGATTTCTCAGGGAGGTGGTGGAGTCACCATCCCTGGAAGTGTTTAAGAGGCATCTGGATCTGACACTGGAAGTTATGGTTTAGAGGTTACAGCAAAGTGACAGGTTAATGGTTGGACTTGATGATCTTAGAGGTCTCTTCCAGCCTTGATGATTCTATGATTCTGTGGTGCTGGCTGCACTGGTGCAGGTGAGATTGGTACAGCCACCAGCACCCTGCAGCATGTCCCCACAGTCAGGTCTCCAGAGCAGCTGCTGCTGTGGCAGAGCTGGCTGCAGGAGGACCAAAGATTTTGTTCCCATTCTTCCTGCCCCAGCTCCTGCTACAATGGTAATTATGGGCATGCTGAGGGCATGGATCCCATGTTGCTCTCTGGGATGCTGCCTGGGCCACAGTGTCCAGCTTGGTTTGAGTTGGGCAACCACTGCTCCCTCCAAGGATGGCTGGAGACACTGAAAGCGAGTGCAGAGCCAGGAAGCAGCTTCAGACTAGGCAACAGTGGAGATCTTTAACTCCTCATTCATCCACATGTTTTATCACTGTTTTCTAAAGTTTCAGAAGGGAGCAGATCAGTGTTCCCTTGACATAATCCCACAGACAGAGTGTCCCCTCCCAGCCCCTGCCTGTGGGACATAGAGCCTAAGGTGGGCAGCACTCAAGGGATAGCTTTCATCATACATGGAGGGGAGGGACAGGTTGGGCAGTTCCTATGTATTTTTCCTACAGAGGGAGCTGGCAGTTAGACCCTGTTGTGCATTTATAGCATACCTATCCTTTACCTTTGCAGGATGAACGAATGATGGAGGAGGTCATGGGTGAGGTCTTTGCTGCAGACACAGTGCTGTGATGCTCACGTGCTGCAGACAGGGCATGGCTGCACCTGCAGATCCCCTGGGACCTACAGCACTGCTGAAAGGACACCTCTGCCTGCAGAACAAACCAACTGTAAGGTTCCCAGAAGAGGATAAGTAAAACTTTTGGGCCAACATTAATAAGACTCACCACCCATAGCAGGACTTGCCAAAGAATGGGACAGAGAGCAAAAGACTAAAAAGGCTCCAAATGGATCAGGCAAATTAATGAAGATTAGGTTCATTAATGACTAGCAAATGTGATGATACACACACAAACCCTGGCTAGGTAAGGTGCTACATTACCACCTGCCAGAAGCTCAGAAGTTAAACCAGAGGAAGGCTTTTTGTCATCTTGATCTCTTTCTAAGCATCTATGAGATCAGACCTTTGGTGTGACTCTGTGTGACTGTTCCTGTAGAGCAGTATTTGCTAAACCATTTTGAACCAATGTGTGACTGCAGCAGTGGTCTGTAAAGTTCAGGGAAACCTGCAGCAGGCAACCAAAAAAAAAACAAATCTATTTTTAGTGCATTTAAATTCATGATATGGGGATCCAAAGCTGAAAATTGTGTGGGAGCAGATACACATATAGAAGATGGATATAAATTTAGTCCCTGTTACAGATTTAATCATGCCACCTCTGTCAAAAGTAATGTAAAACCACTGACAAAATCACAGAAATGCACCTGCATGTTGCCCAAAAGAAAACATAAATAGCACCTAAATGTCCTCTCACCTGCCTCCTCAATCCAGAACTAACAGCACACATTTTTTCTATAGAGTATTTTTCTAGAACAAGTGACTGAGAGCTCTTGTCAAAGTTAATAGCTGTCTGTTCCTCTGGTTGCATCCCCTGGGGATCTAAATCTCTAGGGCCTGCAGCTCCAAGGACGTAAAATATCTCACTCCTGAATTTCAATGAGTTTGAGCTCTTAATCCCCTTAAAGTTTGAAAACTTAGCTAATATGTGTCTGTGCACACTCAGATACATACATAACACAGCAACATTTGACATTTTTCTCTCAGAAAACACACTTGGATCAAAGCTAATACAGCTCATGGATCCAGGCTAAATAGAATACAATGATTTTTTTCCTTTGGAAGAAAAGGTGTGGGAGGGAATTTCAGGAGAGCAATATCTTCTGTCCCAACATTCTTGCAATGGAAGGATCCCTTTCTCAATGTAGAAGAAACTTTCTATTTCATATATTTTTAGCATATCATGTAGCAAGAAGCATAGAAGAAGAATGAAATACATCCAAATATACCCATCTGATGTGAACCAATTAGTGTCTCAGGGTGGTGTTTATTTACTATTCAGTATGAAAACAAATCCAGAAAGATCCAATATTTTCAAAACAGAAGTCTAGGTTTTGGGTCACTGATTAGCAATATGTACTGAAGTTTGTTACACAAACTGATTTTTTTTATAAAATAAAAGTTTAAATGTTGAAGGACACTACAATAATGCAATGAATATTTTTGCAGACTTCCCCCCTTCTGACCACAGCTGGGGTGTACTGGGGCCAGTGCAGCATGGTCCCAAATATCTAATCTGAATCTTCCCTGTCTTGGCTTGTGACCATTCCCTCTAGTCCTCCTGAGCCATGGAGGCTTTTCTTCCCCCAGCTCAAACCCACTACCCAAGCTGAAACTAGAACCTTTCCAGGCACAGGGGCCAGACAAAAAACCAGCCACACACAAGCCCTTGCAAGCTCCTGTCCTCTTATCTCTTTGAGCCTTTGAGAATCTTAGAAAAACAGGAGTCCCAACATGCTCATTTTTCTGAGCCCTAAACCTCAACTTTTGCCTAAGACTAGTAGTCTTCCTGAACCATGTATGGCTGACAAGAAATGGGCTTCCACCAGTACCAAGAGCTGCACATTTTCTGTTTCCACATCCCTGAACAAGGGAATCTCAGGACCCACCAAGACAGCAGTTCTTGAGCCCAGTCCTAAAGCACAGCCCAAAATCTTGGCCAGACTAGAATTGGCAACAGATTCCAACACTAAAATTGCACCAAATCTGCCCTAGGAGTGCAGCCCCTCACACTGCACATCAGTACTGCCAAGAGCTGTTCCCCTTGCTGAGGTAGGAGTGGGAGGAGGTCTGTTCACTGCAGAACTAGTGAGTGCCCTGCTGGGTCACTGGCATCCCAGAGAGCAGTTGCTGCCACTGGCATTGGCAAGCTGGGAAGAGAGGGCATGGACTGAGCTGGCACAGAGATAAATTACTCTTTCCACCTCAGGGCAATCACATTAGAGCTGCCCACCTGGAAAATATCAGCTTGGCATATAAATGTGAGGTTTTCATGAGTTGCATTTCAATCAGTTTTTTGATGTTTACATTCATTTGCAATTTAAAAATAACAAGAAAAATGTAATTAAAGAAATAATGTTATTTTCCACTGTCATGCTTTGCTTTATAATAACTATGTACATTCTTCAGATTTTATGTCTGCTTTCATCTGAGTTAGAACCTTCTTTGTTCTAGACTCTGGACAGTGAGTTCACACTCATATAGTAACAGTTCAAGCTACATTTTTACTATGCTTGTCCTCCAGTTCTGGGTGTGTATGACATTAAGTGTACCTTGGAGAGAAATAGTCATCATTTTTTGTGTGTGCATTTGTGTGTGTAAAGAAATTCTATGTAAAACTGCTTTATATAAACTCAGCATGTGCAGAGCCCAGATTACACTCTGGCCTTCCCTTTGTAAATCACATGCTAGGAGGGGCTGTGGGAGTCACTATCAATATCTGGCAGCACTAAGCACAGCACAATTCATTCAGAACTGCTTGATGCAATTCCACAAAGGAGAGAATTGGAGCTTCAATCATTTTCAAAACTCTTCTCAAAACTCTCCCTATTCTCATGTCTTTGAATGAGATAGGGAAGTTCTTATTTAGCCTTGAAAACAAAGAAAGGGGAGCAGGATGGCACTGCAACATACCCCATAGGTAGGACTGACAACC